CTGTTTTGGTGAATTACTGCACGAAGAACAAAGAATGACAACACAAGCTGCTATTAGTACAACAGGTGAATCATCAGAAATAATTAATATGGCATATGCTGCTCAGACCAAAGGGAAGGGACCATTGCAGTGCTACAGCTGCAAGAAATTTGGTCATATTGCACAAAATTGTAAAAATAAGTATTGTAATTATTGCAAGCAAAAGGGACATACTCTTACGGAATGCCCTACACGACCCGAGAACTGCAAAACACAAGTACTTCATGCCACGGTATCTGAAACTCACAATCCTGGCTCGACGTTCACAGTTGCTGACAATAATCAATCAGTTATCACACCAGATATGGTTCAACAGATGATTCTCTGCTTTTTTTGTTGTTAGCCTTCAAGGGAAAGGTAAAACTATTACTTTGGTTCCTTCTCCTTGGTTTGTTGATTTAGGCGCCACAAATAATATGACTGGCACAGCTAATTTATTGCATAACCAATGACCGTACACTGGTACTCAACATATTCAGGTTGCTGATGGAAATAATATTCCAATTACAACAGTTGGTAATATTAACTCTCCTTCAGACATGTCTTGGTTCCTCCTAAATTATCTACTAATTTACTCTCTGTTGGTCAAATTGTGGATAATAATTGTGACGTACATTTTTCACTGTAGAACTAGAGGGTTTTATTTTAAAGCAAACTCGTCTTTATGGTTGAGATGCAGCTTATGTTGAACTTATGCTTGTATGATTACTTTAAGGGCATAAAATTTGGTTAGTGTTTCTCCTTAAACTCATTTATGGTGTTATGAATGATACATTGGATTTTTCCCACGAACAGCACTTTCAAAATTGTATTTACATACTGAGGGGTATTACAATCATTAGTCCACAGGTAGCAATTTCAGAACTATGTTTTTCAGACAGCTAAACTGCATCTGAAACACCTGTTTCTGAATAACAAATTTTCAACAACATCTTTTGAACTGAGTTTTTCTATAGTCGCAGTATAAACAAACACATTCTAAGTTTTAAGAACTAAATAATACTTTTAAGCAGTGCTTGAGAACACATTATTTATAGGATTTAATCATAATTAATTAAAAATCTAGCCAAACATTTAAAAAATAAAACTAGTAAATACAATGCTCGGTTAAATCCAATTTTTTCACAATCCATCTTGTTTTTACATCGTTCGTCATTGTTACCACGTAAATCTAGATTTAATAAATCCAATTGTAAATCAGATTTATTCCTCCGTTGCTCGAGCTCTTCCATCGCAACATCAATGTGATAAATACAATTTAATGAAAAATTAATTTGCAACCAAACACCGCTTTAGTGTTATTTTGTTATCTACTTTACAATATTAAAAAATTCCATTGAATAAAACATATAATATTTATAGGTAATTTTTAAAATGCATATATATCTTAATTGCACTAATGCCTAAATAAATAGCATCAAGTCAAATTATTATGTCACCAATATTTAAACTGATACTTTCGTCATATAATTCTTTTGTCAATAATTCTCTAGAAAGAAATCCCCGATTAAATATTTGATATTAAATATCACTTGAAATCCCTTTGAGTGTCAACATCTCACATGATTCTTGCCCTTAAGCATGTTAATGGCCTGCTAGCTCTATTAATTGTGCTTCAGTGGTCATCTTGCTCCTGCCATTAGTTGGGCAATGGAATTTCTCTTATATTATGTGGGTCATACTCATTTAGCTAATCTTTTTACAATTGGTAAGTACTCTCCTGTTGACTTTATTAGTAGTTGCTCTCAGCCACCTTTGGGTTTGGTTAAGGAGGATGTTTCCCTGAGTTCACATATTTATCCATGATCTACTTTTACATCTTCTTGAAAGAATGAACGTGCTCTTTTTCTAGCCCGTCATTATTTGTCTCAAGACCCATTATTGCTAGAGTTCTTTTTAAGACACAAGTTTTTTATAGCTATTTATATTTCATTTAAAATTAATTCCATGAGAGCAAATTGTGGGTAGAAAGTGGTCATTGAGAAAAGACCAAACTTATGTTCTCATTGCCAACTATTTAAAATGCTAAAGTTCTCAAACAATAATTGTTCATCTTGAAAAATAATATCACGCCCGTCTTCTAAATTGGGAGTCCATTCATTCTGGGGTAAATTTACCTTTTTTTCAAAAAAAAAAAAAAAAACTCCTTTTCTTATAATTAGATAAATGTTTATTTAGATTTTGGATCAAATTTTGATACAGGCGCATGCCTCCACAACGAGGGTATTACAACCACAGTCTATAACATTTGTGGTGAACTATTACCTTCGTTGCACCTAACTACACATTTTGTGGCCCGCAATCGCTATTATCACCAGGAACTGCATCCTAATTGTAGCTATTATTGCTTAAATATTTTTGTAAAATTATAAATGTCTACACTTGTTTTCTTTTCATTATCTGTGTGTATGATGAATCTTCATACCATGTTAAGACGGTAAATTATTACTCTAACACCGTGAATTTTTTGGCACACAATAATTAATATTTTCCACACTTTAACATTAATTAATAAATTAATCCAAATGGAGTATCAAAAACAAATGGCTTCTTCATTGAGATTCATCATTATTGCATAAAGAAAACACCTCTTCTATCATCAATGTACAATTGCACACTAGGCTTCTTTGCCCTCATCTCATTTGCTTGCTAACCATTTTCCACTTGATAAAGTTGTTGAATTAAGTATATCCTAAACAACTTCTCACCAAGATGGTCGTCATCAAGATCTTAGTGATCAAATGTATATACTTCTTCAAATGGCAAAAATATTTTGATTGTAACTTCAAATTAATTAGGGTTCAAAACTCGAAGTTGGCTTTGGAAATCATTGATATTGGAGTGATAGTTGTTGACCTATTTATGCATGTGCTACTTAAAATAGTGTATTTATACTTTAGTTATAGTAATTATCTTTCCAGATCTCTCCTTTTGTTTGATACATAAAAAAGTGTGAGAAGCCTCCAATGAACTTTAGACACAAATAATTGCACTGGATAGATCCAAAGAAACTATATAAAAGTACTGATAGTTGAAGCAAGCATGTTATTGATCCCATTTCATAAAGAAATTTGGAAAATGATGGCGAAAATCCTATAATTAACATGATTTGAGATGTTGTGGAGAGAAATGGCCTTCTCAAACATATCTAAATTATCAATGAGGATAGTAGCACCTTTATATAACTTGAGAAGAGGAACTTTAAACTTTAATGGAATAAGCTCCTCCAAGACTTCAAGAGTAGAGGATGAGTTGTTCATAAGAATATTGAAATAAGTGAGAAAAATAAAATTATCACCAATAATAGTTTTCTTTTCTAATTGATGAGGCCGATATCATTTATTAGAAGGAATAATTTGGCTCTTTAGGTGAAGATTAATCATCTTGGTGGTAATAATCAAATGTTGATGTATCGCATAAAACTATGCTTCAGTTTGACCTTGGATGAAAATGTCACTATTTGATAATTTATTGATATTATGTGCATAAAATATCCTTCATTTCGAACATTCGGCTTAGCATGAACCCAATGGTTTTGATCGTTCTTGTTAATATAATTATTAATCATTACTCTTTTTCTTCAGTAATCTCACATAAATGATAAAAAAGATATGAATGAAAAAAATTCACTCTCACCAGATATCAGAAGAATTTATTTATTTACGATCCGAAGTTACACTTTGAATACTCTATGACGAGACGAAGTATTACGATGAGATATAGTAATGAAACGAAAAATCAATGAACTCATGTAGATTACATATATTATGCAACAAGTCAAAAAAAAAAAAAAAATCATTGCATATTAAGAAAGGGTATAAAATAATATCTCTTTTAATATAAAAGGTTCATAAGAGGTTGTATGTATGTTGTAGGAGTAGTTATCCTTTGAGATGTTTAACTACTGCTATTTATAGCAGTGTCATAACAAGCATTTGATTCACTTAATGAATAATTTATAAATTTATCTTTATAATGCACATTTGATTCATTCTTTGTATGTTTTATCTTTCTTCAGAAATTTATAAAGCCTTCGTGTCTTAAATATCATTAAATTTCAATATTTACGATTCTCTCGAGACAATATGTAATGACAAAGAATTACATGACTCTGTATTTTTAATTGGATTCTTGAGAGTTTCAGAGAGTATTCCTGAGAAATATTGTTATGAAAGTTGAAATGTCTATGTCGTAATTAATACTTTAGTGGTATATCACTGTGCCATGTGTATGGCCCAAATTTCTTTTAATATGGTAGAATATTAAGGACTACATATGACAATAAAGCAAATGAATGTTATATCATTATGTTTAATGTGCTAATGATCATGACACAAATGAAAGTGACAACATGAGCCTTGAAGCAATGATGACCATGACATAAATGATGGTTGCAGGTAAGTCTTGAGTCATCAATAATATCTCATGATAATGCTTAGAGGATTTAGGTTTTCAACCAAAGTAAGAAAATATATCCAAATGAATTAAATAAGGGGTAGTTACAGCTTCCAATAGTTGCACTAGTCTGTTCTCCAAAATATTTCTCGTTGTTATCAATAATGTGTACCAAAATTGAGTTGACTTTATGCAGTTATGATTATAACTCAAACATAATTATAAGTTCCCTTCCATGTTTTTAGAATTAAATTCAAAATCAGAAACTCAAGATCGGCATTAGCAGCAGCTCATTTCAATGGCTATTAATTTTATTTGTCTTGTAATTTATTAAAGAAAACTATTTATGATGTACAAAAATATATCAGATAGAGCTTGAAAAATGGTTCATAGAAAATAGTTGATATACACAAGCACGTGCTATCATGTAAATATGTATACATATCTAAAACATGAACCTCCAATACATCATCGATTATTATCTACTAAGAAATACCAATTACATCACATATGGCCAAGTAGATGTATTCCCATTGAAAAGTTATAAAAATTAGGAGCAAAAAACATGAGATGATAATGTTTGAAGCACTTATGAAATGAGCAATTTACAGAAATTTCTCGCATTTTAATATGATAACATACTATTTTGATGATCCCATACATGCAAAATAGAGTTTTCATAGCTGAAATGTAACAAACGACAATCAAAGTCTTGACACCCACAAAAACAAAAACAATGACAATAAAAAAATAGAAAGACAAATCATTTAATACAAAATAGAAGCACTCAAAACTATATAAAGCACATACAATGATTCATTTACGTGGATTTCAGCCCCAATGTCTTCCTCGTCTTCCCCACAAATAGATCCTTTGATTTGATCTTCCCTGGCAAGCATCCAGAGAGTGTGGCAAAGGGAAGCTGGGCAACTCCTTCCTTTCTTCCCAATGAAACTATCGCAATGGCTGGGGAAGCTGTATAAGTTGCAAGTTTCTTCTCAGGAGCTCCCTTAATCAATAATTGCAGGTTCTTGGCCACCACTGAAGCATGCTTCTCTGCAAGGAACCCTTGCTTGATCTCCTGCCAATGTAATGAAGAGCAAGCATATCAGATATGGAGGAAGAGGCATTAAGATGCAGCGCAACATTATAATTTAGTTATAAAATAAGACTTTCTTAACAAGAAAAGTGTCAATAGTTCCCCAACTCTTTGTAGAGGGTTATTTTAGTCCCAGAGCCTATAAAGTGCCACTCAGTCCCAACTTTTTTAATATGGGCTAAAATAGTCTCCACAAAAGACTATTTCAGCCCCAATTAAATGAGTCTGGGATTAATTTGGTATTTCTATAGACTCTGGAACAAAAATAGCTCTATTTAAACAATCAGGGGATTATCCTGGTAATTTACTCCTTAACATTACAAATAAACAGAATTCAGAGTAGAAATACATACAGGGACATCATTAATGTCTCCAATAGCAAAAATGTTATCATGGCCTTTCACTCTCAAGTACGCATCAACCATTAACTGCCCCTTTTTGTCCAGGGATTGCTTTAAGATAGAATCACGCAGCCATGATGAAGCTACTGGTTTTCCCACACAAACAAAATGGCAGTCAGCTGAGATTTTCTCTCCACCTGATGTAACATAAACTCCACTTTCAGACAAAGACTCCAGGTCTACTGTTTGTCCCAGAATGACTTCCACCTTCTTTTTAACCAACCAACTGAATGCCTTTTTGGATGCTTTTGGACCTATGAATTCTATCAACCTTGGCCCTTTATGGACAATGGTAACCTTCTTCTCCGGAAAATCAACCGCAATCTCTCCAGCGAGCTCAACGCCAGTTGGACCACCACCAATGATCAAAATAGAGTTTGATGACTTAATCTTCTCATAATCTATGAATTCATTGCAAATGTTCTAATCAGAAGATAGCAACAATATTTAGCACGCTATAGAACAAATAAATTGCAACTAGAATTAAAATAAGGGATAGGAGCTAACTTTCATAATGTTTCCATGTCTAATTATGCATATTTAAATTAAAACTATAAATGGTGTTAGATATACTTGCCTTGCTGAAAATAGCTGAGTCTATCCTTTCTGTGAGCTTTATCAGAACCAGGATGGCCAGTAGCCAAGACAAGATAATCATATGGATGTGTTTGACCATCAGCCGTGTGGACCTCATGATCGGTAACATTCGTTGCATGCGATTGAATGATTGTAGCATCAGTTAAGTAGTCAAAGTGTTTTATCAATGTTCTTTCTGCAAATGAGGGTTCTACCATTGACCTCAACTGTGCCCATGGTATCTCAAAGTATTCTTTTCTGCAATATAAATAGAAGAAAAATCAGAATGAACTGTAAATTAATATATATCTATATATCTATCTATCTATATAAGGAACGGCCAGAAGCTATTATACAAGCCTCTAGTCACCCCTAACGTGTCTAACAATTCGAGTACCGCCTCCTTAAGACCAACTGTGCTAGAGGGGATTTGAACCCCAAACCTAAGAAGCCTTCTACCGTGGATTCCAACCAACAGGCCTGGGTACGCAGCCTGTTGGTTTAGAGCATAGATTACACTAAATATAGACAGCTTGAATAGTTTGTTTGGTTGCAAGTTGGATTTAATAAGGCCTGTAAATCTCCTGATTTAATGAATCCTATATGGGTTAAATCTTAGAAAATTATTTGATATTTTAGATGTTAGATCCAATTAAATTGAGTTAACTTTTCTTACTAGTTGTTTCAATATTTAAGGATTTAAATGATTAGGATATCTTGTTATCTTTACTTTGCTTATATCAATCTTAATTAGATTAATTTAATTAAATACCTCAACTAATAATTAATTCGTAATTTTCTGAAATAATTAAATAATAACTTACCATTAAACACATGAAATAAAAAAATTAAAATAATATTAATTAACTTATAATAATATTTTAAGTAACTTACAATCATTATTAAAATTATTTTAGTTGCTTGATTAAATAATATAATAATGTATATTATATTATATATGTATAATTTGTTTGAGTAAATAATAATAACTTGATAACATTTTTTAAAATTATGAATTTTACTAATTAAATTATAATTAATTAAGGTTATAATACTAATTAATCGCTATTTAGTAATTTATAAAACTGATTAGTCATAATAAATTATGTTTAATCAGATCAAATCTCAAATAAAGTTAATTGATTTAAATTAATTAATATGTTTTCAATTAATAAATAATAATTATAAAACTTAATAAATTTTTTTAATGAACACATCTCATTCAATCAAAATGATATATTATTAATATTTTCCAAACCCGAATCACCATCTTTCTCCCACAAATTCCCGAAACTCCCGAAAATAAAGAAGCAAAGCAGCGGCAACGGGAGATCCCTGGAGAAGACGGGACCAGCTGTGTGTGAAGAAGTAGCGTTCGCCACTAGGATAAAAAAGGCAAAAATAAAGCGACACCGGATTTAAGATTCTCTGGGTTCTCAAATGGGCTATGGTACCGTTTTAATAAACCCTAATACTGCACGAATCCTGCTGCCAAACAGCTCCAGCGCAGATGGGTTTCAAAAGCGGATCAAAAATACATATTAATGCCGGAAACAAGAATTATAGTAACGAATTAACAATCAGAAGATGAAATTAAAAAAAAAAGTCAAACGATGCATACGGATCTATAAGTGTTACTTCATTCTGCGACTGCAACGTCTTCGAGATGATACCTCCGGCGATCCCACCGCCCACAACCACCACCCTCTTTGATTTCTCAACTCCACCGACGGCCATGGGGCTGTGCTAAGCCAAACCAACACAGTTTGCAGAGAATTAAGTAAAGAGAAAGAGCAAATTAAAGAAGACGAGATATTGAAAGAGAATCCGAAAGGTGAGGGTTATATATAAACAAAGGTAATGCCAGCTAATTATTGCTAAATATCTAAATTAATATAGCGATAAATTACTTTTAAATTAATTTTGAAATAAATTAAATAAACTTGAAGCTTATTTGAATATAATTTTATGATATTTAACTTCTAAAGTATTATGTATTTAAATATTATAAATAATTGTTTATATTTCCTTCTAGAAGAACGGGGGTGGGTCTGAACGAAATTTGGCGAACCGCGTGGTCTGGATGGTTGGATTGCTATTTGTACCCAAAATAGAATTGGGCCAAGCTTCGGCCTAACACTAGCGTGCTTAGAATAGCATTCAACTTGTGTATCAAATTGACCGGTCCAATCCGGTTTGACCCGGAACAAACCTCCATTTGCTTGGCGACATCCTTTACTCGCTCGGCTGTTTTTTTATTATGTAGAAATGGTTTGAAATATTAATATTTAAAAATTAAATATCTAGTTCATTTTTTAAGCTATGAGCGATATATTTATGCAAGTCACAATCAAAATATTAAGATTTTGATTAAAAAAACAGTAATACAGAATTCTCGTGATTTCTTCGACGTAATTGTGGTAATCCAGAATTCTAGATTTCCCTTATCTCGCTTCCTTATTACATATTGCCTTTGTACATGTGCAGTTTATTTTTCTTTATTTTATTTATCTCTCTTTTTCTCTTGAACATGTAAATATACATTCCAGTGGGTGAAAGCAACGAGCACTGAGCGTAGTCATGGATGATCCAAGGAGCTCATATTGCATCCATTACTCGGATAGCCTTGGGATTGCCCTAGGGACATAGAACTCGTTTGGGGATAACTACTGTTCATGGAGTGGGTGAAGACAATAACACTTTTAGCCAAGAACAAGTATGGGTTTGTTTATGGGCCCATCTCAAAACCAGAAGGTATGGATCAAAAGATCCTCAATTCTTGGTCAAGAAACAATAACATGAAGATGAATGACAATGGTAAAAAGCAAGATAATATGTGCATTCTAGATGCTAGCCAATTACACAACTTTTTTATGCCAACCACAACGTTATACATTTATGGCATACTTGGCTTGGGCATCCTGCTTAATAGCGATTGGATAGCCTCAGAAGCCAACTACAATTCATTACTCTAAAATTCAATAAAGAAGTTATCAAACATCCTGAATGACAACATGATATAAACAATGAATTAATGTCTTTAAAGCAAACTCACACTTGGCCCATTATTCCACTACCACCAAGAAGATGTTCACTAGTTGTAAGTGGACATATAAAATCAAATACAAACCAAAGAGTTTCATTAATAAATATAAAGCTTGACTTGTAGCAAAAGATTACACGTAATGGGAAGGAGTGGATTTCTTAGAAACTTTCTCACCATTTGCTAAAATGGTCACTGTTAAATGCTCCTTGCACTATCAACAAACCAAAAAGTGGATATTTTCTCAATTAAATGTTAACAATGCTTTCTTGCATGGAGATTTGCCACCAAGATTCATTAATGAGGGGCAAAACATTCATCAAACATATAATCTTGTGTACAAATTGCACAAATCTATCTATTGTCGAAAGCAAGCTTCTTGTCAATGGTTTGCGAAACTTTCATATTCATTAATTAAATTTAGCTTTACACAATCTAAATCTGATTACACTTTATTCACCAAATGGGATAAATAGTAACTTTGTAGCTTTAATTATTTATGTTGATGATATTATCAATACCGAACCTTCTGAATCTGCCATCAAATCACTATAATCTTTCCTCCATACTTAAACTTACTTTATAGATTTTGGGATCTCCAAATATTCCTTAGGTATTGAAAGTTCTTGATCTAATTCTGGAATTGCCTTATCACAAAGACACTACACTCTGAAACTTCTTGAGGGCACTAGTTTTCTTAGAAGCAAACCAACAAAATATTCCCATGAATCCTAAAGTTCATTTATACTCTATTGATAGAAATACTCTCCCAGATGCCTCTCAATATCGAAGACTTGTAGGGAGGCTCATGTATCTTATAGTATCACACCAAGATATTGCATTTGTTGTGCACAAGCTCAATCAATTCTTAGCTCAACGTAGAACACCACACTTATCTGCCACTCATCATCTTCTTTGATACCTTAAATCCATTCCATAACAAGGTTTATTTCTCGATACCGCTTCACCCATTTAGCTTAAATCCTTTTCAGATTTTGATTGGGCAAAAAGTTTGAGCACTATAATGTCTATTACCAGTTCTCCTTTTTTTAGGCGAGTCTTTAATATCTTGGAAGGCAAAGAAATAAAACTCAGTATTTAGATCATCTTCTAAAGCATAATATAGAACATTTGTAACTACTACAAGTGCGTTGTTATGGTTAATCCAATTATTGTGGGATTTCAAGTTAAAATTACTAAGTCTGATATTAGTATTTTGTGACAGTCAAGTATCCATGCATATTAATGGCAGCCCAACATTCCATGAATGAACAAAATAAATATAGATAGATTTCCACTTTGTTTGAGATAAGATTACAACTTGTGTGATCAAGCTAATGCCAATTTGATCGAAATAAAAATTAGCAGATGTCTTCTCAAAAGATTTTCCACAAACTAGCCTTGCTACTCTCTTGTCCAGGATGGCCATTAAAAATATTTATAGCTCATTTTGAAGAGAAGTATTGCATATTGCCTTTATATAGGTGGTGTTTACTTTTCCTTATTTCATTTATTTCCCTTTTCTTTTGTACATTTATATATCCATTGGTAATAAACCCAAGTGGGAGAGTAAGTCCTTCATTTCTTTAATACAATAAAGTTAAGATTTACTTTTTCATTTCAAGCGTCCAACTTTTCTGCTTCCATAACATTCTTTGATCCTCTCTTTCAACTCTACCACACATGTATTGCCCTCACTTTGACCAACCATCTCTCCATAACATTTCATCTACCACAGACCATCAATGAAGCATACATTCAATCATATATTTGTCAAGTGATTGCAATTAACCATTACAAACTAGAAATTAATGAATCTTCAAAAGTTCTATTACTACTAAAAATGTTGTTTAATTAGCTAGATTGTACATATGATTTCACAACTATACATATAATTAGGACACAATAGTACTAAAGGATCATATGATCACAATCATATGTATTACTGCCCAACAAACAAATAATTTGAGGATAATGAATAAATTGACTTTTTGAGTTTTCTGAAGAACTATTGGGGGCTATTTTAACCTCAATTTTTTTTTCTATATTGTCTTTTGGTTTATGCAATTAAAATTTAAACATTATTTTGAAGAAAAAAATAAAGATGATAAAATTTTCATACAGATCACTAGAAATATAATGCGAGAATGTATAAATTAATTTAAAATCCTAGCTTGTAGACCTACAAGTGTTTCATAAGCAATATATATCATACTATTGATTTTTATCTAACTTAATAATGTAATGGTAAAAATCTAATCCTTGAGCACCTCATTAAATATACAATTCCAAGCCAAACTCATTATAGAAAAAAATTTTAAACAAGTAAATTTTATTGAATAATAATTAATCAATCAATTAAACATAATGTTATTGATCACTTGAAGATCATAACTATGGCTTTACTTGCTTAAGTATGATCAAAATTTGACCTCATAAGAAGGTAGTTGGGCCATCTAATTTAGTACAATTTAATTTTTATAGAGTTTCATACAATGGATCTAAAATAAGTGAATTAAACACCGTGGACTTATATGTTCTAGTTCAAGAATATAAAACTCATTAACATGTTACATCTAGATGTACCTATTTAATTTGTTTATTTTAATATAGAATGAATATAAAATTATACTTTTAAATTACAAGCCTAATAGATTAATTGGTCTTCATGAGCACAACATTTAGTATTTTGATTTAAATGTCATTGGTGCATCATTTAACATATGTAATGCACTTATAATATATCAATTCAATCTAGTGACTAATCAGTCTTATTGCAAGCCGGAAGATTCATAACGGTAGAATGATGATCTAATATGTTTGCGTTGTACAAAAAATTATCAGATACATAAATAATAGAAAAGTGGTTGGAGATCATTTGAATAATTAATCAATCAATCAAACATAACGTTATTGATCACTTGAAGATCATAACTATGGCTTTACTTGCTTAAGTATGATCAAAATTTGACCTCATAAGAAGGTAGTTGGGCCATCTAATTTAGTACAATTTAATTTTTATAGAGTTTCATACAATGGATCTAAAATAAGTGAATTAAACACTGTGGACTTATATGTTCTAGTTCAAGAATATAAAACTCATTAATATGTTACATCTAGATATACCTATTTAATTTGTTTATTTTAATATAGAATGAATATAAATTTATACTTTTAAATTACAAGCCCAATAGATTAATTGGTCTTCATGAGCACAACATTTAGTATTTTGATTTAAATGTCATTGGTGCATCATTTAACATATGTAATGCACTTATAATATGTCAATTCAATCTAGTGACTAATCAATCTTACTGCAAACCGGAAGATTCCTAACGGTAGAATGATGATCTAATATGTTTGCGTTGTACGAAATATTATCAGACACACAAATAATAGAAAAGTGGTTGGAGGAGACCCTTAGATTTTTTTGTGAAAAAACCTTAGGGCTAGGTCAGTCAAAGAAATTCACTGTGTGATTGTAAGTATATAGATCATCTTTTCTCCTGAATTACAGAAGATGAAATTACAAAGCTATTAATCCCATATATTATGTGTGTAATCCCTATATAAGGATTCGGTACACCTATCCTTGAACAATGAGAACTCGCTGACTGTATGTGGGAACAAAATAATGGATAAAGTTTCAAGCACACTTATCCGCATGCAATACTTTTGCGCATAGAGGGGAGAAAATGGAAGCATCCTCAATCAACTAATTGTAGCGATTTAAATCTCAATAAGATTTATGCAAGACTTGGAAAGGTGTTTGGCACGCAAGATAGATGGAAGCTGTAAGAATTCATCATTGAATATTGACTCTAATTAGGTTACATTCACACAGACATTAGGCTGAAACTTGATTAAGCTTAGGCAATTATGACGATAACTCTGAACTTATTCATAATAATTCTGCAACTCCATACTTTTCAGAAGCAAAATCGAAATCAAATACCCAAGAAGTTAGGTGGGTGTCAAAACAAGAATTCAATCCTTTTATTCAAGTCCTAACGATCTTGTTATGACTTTAAACTTGTAATAACATTTTTGTAAAAAAACTACCCATTTAAAACATTACTCTACTTTTCATTGATCATATAAAAACAACACAATTTACATAGCTGATTTACAACAGCAAAAAAACAAAACATTCAACCGAAGGTAGCAAAATCAAAACATACCCAAACGCACATGCACACACACAGCAAGCACAGAAGAAGAAAGCAAGAAATCACATCATTTTAGCTCAATATAAACACATAAAACTATCACGAACTACACAATAGCTATGGCGATGCCATTACGCGGATTCAAGTCCCAAGGTCTTCCTCGTCTTCCCCACAAACAAATCTTTCGACTTGATCTTTCCTGGAAACCATCCAGAGATTGTACCAAAGGGAAGCTGAGCAACTCCCGCCTTTCTTCCCAACGAAACCATCGCGATGGGCGGGGAAGCCTTATAGATCGCAAGCTTCTTCTCAGGAGCTCCCTTTATCAATAACTGCAAGTTCTTCGCCACCACTGAGGCGTGTTTCTCTGCAAGAAATCCGAGCTTCAGCTCCTGCAAAACAATGGAGACCGAAAAAAGCCAAATTTGATAAGTTAAAGATCAAAAAAACAGATCTTTTTTTCTTCAAAAGTTTGGCCGGGAGAAGGAATTATGAAAAGAGAAACTTACGGGGACATCAGTAATATCTCCAATAGCAAAAATGTTATCACGTCCTTTCACTCTCAAGTTCTCATCAACAATCAACTGCCCCTTCTTGTCCAAAGACTGCTTTAAGATAGAATCATGCAGCCATGATGATCCCAACGGCTTGCCCACACAAACAAAATGGCAATCAGCGGTGATCTTCTCTCCACGCGATGTCTCATAAACTCCACCTCCTGATACAGATTCCAGGTCGACGGTCTGTCCCAAAATCACCTCCACCCCTTTCTTTTTCAGCCAAGTGTGCGCCTTTTTGGAAGCTTTTGGGCCTATGAATTCTATAAGCCTTGACCCTTTGTGCACAATGGTGACTTTCTTCTCTGGAAAATCAACAGCGATCTCTCCGGCAAGCTCCACACCAGTTGGACCACCACCAATGATTAAAATGGAGTTCGATGACTTGATCTTTTCGTAATCTATGAATCAATTACAATGGCAACAATGAAGATTTGATAAGACTCCCAAATTATGAATATTTAAATTAGAACAACAAAAGTTTTAGATATAAATACCTTGCTGAAAAAGTCTGAGTCTATCCTTTCTGTTTACTGCAATAGAACCAGGGTGGCCAGTTGCTATGACAAGATAATCATATGGAAAAGCTCGGCCATCTGCTGTCTGTACCTCATAGTTAGTTACCTTGGTTGCATGCGATGTGATGATTGTAGCATCAGTTAAGTACTCAGAATGCTTTATCAAAGTTCTATCTGCAAATGATGGCTCCACCATTGATCTCAACTGCGCCCATGGTATCTCGAAGTATTCCTTGCTTTAATCCAAGCAAAATATAAAATCAGAAACAGAGTAAAAAATTCTCAGTTTTTTTAAAAGAATTGATGATTATCACAAAATCCTGCAACAATCTACACTTCTCCTTGGTAGATTACGAATGGATCGATTACGCCATTGTCAAACAAGCCATGGAGATTAAAATAACCTCTGCAAATCAAATAGAAAAGAAGGGGGAAGAGGTGCATACGGGTCGATTAGCATTACTTCATTCTGTGACTGCAATGTCTTCGCAATGATACCTCCGGCGATCCCGCCGCCCACAACCACCACCTTCTTTGACTTCTCAGCTCCACCTACGGCCATATCGCGGTTCTAGTTCAATCGAACTGGATTTAGAGACGAGATTAGAGCGAAAATGGAAGGTGACTGGACAAAGTGCTTGCTATACATCTGCAGCCGGACTGATGGCTCAATTTATACAATCTTCAGGCTGCAGTCAACAAAATCGTCGGAAGTTCAAACACGTGCTTCAAGCTAAATGCGAATAAGATGATGGCGAAATATTTAAAATATTTTCTTGAATTATTTATATTACAAATTTTCTTACTTAAAAACAAAAAATTATAATACAAAGCAAGTCACCTCCTTTGCCTTCGAGGGTGTGACAGCTGAAGCACGCTTTTGCGGCGGCCCAAAGTGGAGGGAAGACGAATTAAATCGGGTCAAATAAAATGGAATGAATTCTGGTCAAACCAGCTCGGAACGATCAACTGGATATCGTATGCTAAAACATGGACCGACTCCATCAAATCAACCACGTCACGCGGTTCGCCAGCTATGCAAAGACCTGAAAAAGCGGTACCTTTGTTTTCAAGAAATCCGATTCCCCTTTTTTTTAACTATATAATTACAAAAATAAACATATCCGATTCCAACTTCTAGAATGAATATATATAT